TGTGTGGGGGAGGGGGTTTGTGTGGGGGAGGGGGGCACTTAGGGTTCGGTGGGGAAGCGGGCTGAGAAGCCCAACCAACTCAGAGGGTTAGGAGGGTGTGAGGGAGTCACACCCCGGGCGGTATGGTCTCATGTGCCTCCCATGGGGCCTGTGTCCCCCGGAGGGTGCATACATACACACACATACATACATACATATATATATGTATGTATGTATGTATGTATGTATGTATGTATGTATGTATGTATGTATGTATGTATGTATGTATATGTATATACAGAGAAGCCCATATATATATACAGACAGACAGACATAGACATACAGACATACAAGGGCCCTTACACTGCAGAAGCGCTAACTAACGATAAACCCAAGCGAGGAGCTAAAACGGCAAACTGGAAGCTGCTACCTCGCAAGGATGCAGGATCCAGAATTGTACGGGAGCCGCACAGAGCCGGCCTGAGACCGCGCAGACCGCTTCGCTCTGTCTTCACAGCTAAGCCAACATACGCACATACGCACGTACACTCGACGTCGCGGTATAAGAAAAGACACATACACACACGTGCTCGTCACCCCGCGTCCCCACCCCCCGGCGCCAGGTCAACCCCCACGCCAAGCGCCACCTCCGCCACGTCACCCCGGGAGCAACCGCCGGGGGACAACCGCCTAGGAAATTCGGTTGCGACAACCTGCCACGTGGTACGACACTGGCGATCCAGCACGCACCCGCCGTCAGTGAACTGGCGGCGCCGCCGCCGTCGCCGTCGGGTCGTGGGCCTGGCCTGTCGTACCACCGCCACCACCATCCGCATCAACCGCACCGCCGCCACCACCATCATCATCATCATCCACACCAGCGCCAACAAGCCCTTGGCGGCGACGGCGTTGGCAGTACCAACAGCGGTGGCGGCGCCGCCGCCGACGACGACACGGCGCCAACATCAGATTTGGTGTCACGCTACTGCGAGACTGTACGGCCGCAGCGTAGTAAGTTTAGCAGTCGCGACGGGCCGGCGCATTACACCCTTCGTACGTACAGCGTGCTACAGCCGCCGGCGGAGTGGGCGCGGCAGGCGGCGGCAGCGAGTGTCTCGACTGGCGGTAGTACGGCAATA